AGTGTTACTGGGTGTTCCTATGAAATGTTCAATTATTGTATATAAAAGTGTATTAACTCCATTTTCAACTCCCATGTTGACATTTTCATCAAATATAGGGAAACCATCTTCATTTAGTTTTACTGCATGTATTATTTGTCGTTTTGACTCATCTATGAGGTGTTTATCCCACTAAGAATGTAAAGTTCCTGTGAAACCTGTTTCTAAAAGAGGGACAATTTCTGACTGTCTTAAGTTATGATTAGTGATGTAACTATTGGCGACCATGGACATATGTTGTAATTTATTCATAATTTCTTGTTTGGACAGACCATCAATATTCCATTCATAGAGTTTATCGGTGGAGACTGAGAATTGGTTTTGGAAGTTTCGTTCTTCGAATTGAATATCTGGGGGAGTCGATTTAGGATACCAATTTTTTGTTAAACTAGTGGGATTGATTTTATTTCGTAGTCTACTAAGTTTTAAATTGTTAAAGGCGTTTTCTATTTTTGATATATTACTTGAATCAGTTTCAGTATCTTGGGAAGACTTTGATTCTGATGGGTCTATTTGGATGACTTTAAGGGTAGAGGATGACTCTGTTTTAGTGGGTTTTTCTCTGATTGGTGTCAACTGTTCAAGCATTTCTTCGATTTTTCTCGTAGTGGGAGTTGTTTTAAGTGTTAGACCTGGTTTTATGTCTTGGAACTTAACTAAAGGTTTTTCTTTCTTAAGCTTAGGGTTTACTTCTTGAATAAGTATCTTATCAAATTTTGTTTCAATCTTATCTAATTGCTTTCCTAAAATTATGAGGCTTTGATTTGTATAATTATTTTGCTCAATTATTTTTTTATCAGTTTGTTCAGGGAGTTTGAAAGGGCTAGCACGAAGCTTAGAGTTTTTGTGATTGATAATTATTGTTTCTACTGGAGGATGACTAGCTATGACTTCTGTGTTATCTTCTTTTTCCCATTTTTCTTGTGTTAAAGTTTTTATTTCCTTTTTCTGCTGATAATGGTTTTCAACAAAATCAAGGAAAAATATTTCTGATATAGTTCGCAACATATAGGTTTTCCATTCATTAATGATTTGCTGTCTCTGTTCTTTACTTGGGTAGGTTGCTCTATATCTATTGCGTCTGTCTATATTTTCTTTTGACTCTAGATGTTTATCAAGGATTTTCCAGTGTATCTTAAACTTCTTATTAAGGGTTCTTAACTGATTATCTACTGGGATAGCTTCTGCTTCGAAGTCCGTTTGCATAGGGGAGTTTGGACCTTTAGTTTCTTCTACTGGTTTTTTATTGTAACAAGGGTGACTTGTAAAGTTTTCTGTATGCAAATTAATCTGGAACCAATTTAGCATTTAAACCACACCTTAATAGAAATTTGACAATTAAACAATAGAACGATTAGAGATCAGACTTACTTGAATTAGCCATAATCAAATATACAAGATGATCTTCTCCTCTCAGTATTCCAAAATGTCAAGGCTTTCAATAGGACAAGCATACAGAATTTTAACGTGTGAATATGAGAGCAGAGACCAAGCCTTTTATACAAGTTGCTTTACAATTGACTCTCCTATTAAGAGACAACTGCTAGCCAAAACGTGGAGATAATGGATGATATCCACTTCCTGAAACAGTTATTCCATTTAATCATTATCTGAATAAAAGTCTCATAATATCTTAATTTAAATATAACTCTATTTATTATTTATATGACACCTCATAATAATGAAAAGGCAAACTCACAAAATACATGGAAAAACTTACATTCTCCCACATGAGTGTAGCCAATTCATCAAACAAAAAGTATCATATTGAATAATCAACAGTGATCACTGAGTTATATGAAATTATAGATGACTTTTGACAACTAACCATATTGATATAAAGAGCTGAACTTTAGAAAACTTGACACACTTAAATTGTACCAGCACTCTAAAATCACAAACTCATCATATCATAATGTAAATGTTGTAGACATGGAATAAGAAGTATGAGTCTAGGTACCATGGGACTCCCAAATTTCGTTGGTCTTAAGATGTCATGAACATCATTCAATTTCAACATAACTTTGCAAAGACTTCATAAACACAAGAGTAGAATCAGAAAATATTAAAATATTCAAAGGTGAAGAATTACCTTACTCCCACATTCAAAACAGATCAATCGAAGCTTGCAGACCCATTTTTGGCACTAGTCTTTGAAATGCAGTCACATGCAAAGCTTTTGTTAAAGGATCTGCTATCATATGTAAAGTGCCAAGATGCTCAATATCAATGACTCCATCTCTGACCTTGTCCTGAAGCGTCAAGTACTTGATATCCAACAGCCTTGATGCATCAGACCTTTTATTGTTTTTGGCAAAGAACACAGCTGAACTATTATCACAATATAACTTCAATGGCCTTTCTATACTCTTGACAATTTTCATACAGTGAATCAAATTCTTTAACCAAACACATTGCCTTGCAGCTTCAAAGCATCCAATATATTCAGATTCCATTGTAGACACTGATCTGGTAGTTTGCTTCTTACTTCTCCATGAAACTGCACCACCAGCTAAGATAAACATATAGCCACTTGTTGACATTCTGTCATCAACACAGCCTCCCAAATCAGCATCTGAATAGCAAACTAAATTAAGTGAATCCACATAATGATAACACAACACATATGATTTAGTCTTTTGCAAATATCTGAGAACCTTTTTGCTTGCATTCCAATGAGCAATACCAGGATTTGATTGAAACCTTCCTAGTACACTTAGTGCAAATGCTAAGTCTGGTCTAGTACAAACTTGAGCATACATCACACTACCAACCAAGGAAGCATAAGGCTTATCTTTCATAGCCTCAATTTCAAAATCTGTCACAGGACATTGATGAGTGGAAAATTTATCACCCTTACCAATTGGAACATCACCACCACTACAACTTTCCATGTTAAACCTCTTAAGAACTCTGTCAATATAATTTTTCTGAGATAACCCCAAAACTCTTTTTGATCTGTCTCTAACAATCTCAATGCCCAAAACAAAGTGAGCCTCACCTAAATCCTTCATATCAAAACTACTAGAGAGCATACTCTTAGTATCTTGAAGCAATTGAACATTTGAACTTGCCAAGAGTATATCATCTACATAAAGAACCAGAAAAATAAAATTGGACTTCACCATTTTCATGTAGATGCAGTTATCAAATCTGTTTTCAACAAAGCCAAATGAAGTCACAACCTGATCAAACCTTAAATACCACTGTCGAGAAGCTTGTTTAAGTCCATAGATGGATTTATTTAACTTACACACAAAGTTCTCTTTCCCCCTTTCAATAAATCCTGGTGGCTGCTTCATGAAAATATCTTCTTTGAGAAAACCATTGAGGAAAGCAGTCTTCACATCCATTTGGTGTAATTCAAGATTGAAGTGTGTTGTGAGAGCCATGATAATTCTAAAAGAATCTTTGGTTGACACAGGAGAGAAAGTTTCAGAGTAATCTAAACCTTCTCTTTGTGTAAACCCCTTTGCAACTAGCCTTGCCTTCAACCTTTCAACTCTTCCTTGAGAATCCCTTTTAGTCTTGTAAATCCATTTGCAGCCTATTGGTTTGACACCAGCAGTAGGCTCAATCAAAGTCCAGACACCATTCTTGTCCATAGAAGCTAATTCTTCTTCCATAGCAGCTTGCCAAAGAGTTGACTGAGAACTGTCCATGGCTTCTCTATAAGAAATAGGATCATCATGATCTCCAATGTTGAATTCAACTTCCTGTAAATACACCATATAATCACTAGGAATTGCAGATCTCCTCTGTCTTTGAGATCTTCGAAGTGCAAGCTCAGAATTAGCTGGTTCTGCTTGTACTTCTGGTTCTGGAATAGGCAATACATCTGCTCCCTCAACTGGTTCTTCAAATACTTGTGGCTGTGGGACATTATTTGTGACTATCTCAGATGTTGAACATGGAATTGGCACTGGAATTGACACTGAGTTTCCAGAAGATGCAACTGAAGTTTTATCAATTTCTTCAAAAATATAAGAATTTTTGGATTGTGAGGAAGATGTGCTGAAATCCTCAATAAACTTAGCATTATTAGTCTCTGCAATTCTTGTATGCGAAGTTGGACAATAAAACTTAAATCCTTTAGACTTCTCAGTATGAAAATGATTGAAGCTTGGTTTCCTACCTGTCCAAATCTCAAATGGTGTGGAAGGAATTGACTTACTTGGTACTCTATTCAATATGTAATTAGCTGTCTTTATGGCTTCGCCCCACAAAAATTCTGGTAACTGAGAATAAGATAACATGCTTCTAACCATATCCTTCAGTGTCCTATTTCTCCTCTCTGCCACTCCATTTTGATGTGGAGTTCCAGGTGTTGTATACTGAGCTACAATGCCTTGCTCTTGAAGAAAAATAGCAAAAGGACCCTTTTGTTGTCCAGCCTCTGTATGCCTGCCAAAATATTCTCCACCACGATCTGATCTTACAACTTTAATGGTTTGGTCCAACTGATTTTCAACTTCTAATTTGAAAACTTTGAAACAATTTAACACTTGTGATTTTTCAGAAATCAAGTACAAATATGAATATCTAGAAAAATCATCTATAAAGAGAACAAAATAGAAATTTCCACATATTGTCCTTGTTGGAAATGGACCACAAACATCTGTATGTATTATCTCTAACAAGTTACTGCTTCTAGTTGAGTTTAATTTCCTTGTGCTTGTGGTTTTGCCTTTAAAACAATCAATACAAGTTTCAAAATCATTGAAATCCAAATCTGGCAATATCTGTCTTTTCATTAATCGTTCCATTCTATCCTTTGATATATGCCCTAATCTTCTATGCCAAAGCATAGAAGATCTGTCATTATTGAGCATTCTCTTAGAAACAGAATCAACAATATGGAAACATTCATGAAAATAAGTACACTGAAGCTGCCATAAGTCACAATTAAGAAAAGCATAACCAAGTAATTTATCAAATTGATTTTTGTGAAAAATACGAATACTTTCGTCATCACCAATATAAGAAAAACCATCCTTAACAAGCTTTGAAACTGAAAGTAAATTCCTTCTCATCGAAGGTACATAAAGAACATTGTTCAAGACTAAAATAAAACCAGATGACAACTCTAACTTAACAATACCAACAGACTCTACTTCTACTTTTGTTCCATTTCCAACAAAGACTTTGTAGATCTCTCTATTTTGGTCCTTCTGGCTTTTGAATCCCTGCAAGGAATTAGTGATATGAACAGTGCAACCAGTGTCAAACCACCATGAGTTTTGTGGAATAAAAACCAAATTTGTTTCAACAGTAACAAAAACATCAATAATTTGAATACCTTTCTTAATGAGCCATGCCTTAAAACCAGGGCAATCTTTTCTCACATGCTCAGCAGATTTGCAAAAGAAACATTTCTTGAAAATGTCTTTGTTAGGTTTAAGACCAGAACTAGTGGTAGCAATAGAGTTTTGAGCAGGCACAACAGAGTTATTAGCATGTTTCTTTGAATTGAAATATGAACCTGTTTTAGGTGCACTAGTCTTCTGATTGGGATTTCCAGATTTATTGACTGTAATTGCTTTCTTTCCTTTCCCAGCATGAACTAAATTGACAACTTCAGCTTTGCCCTTTTTTAATCTCTCCTCCTCTTGACAGCAAATAGCAATAAGTTCATTGACAGTCCAAGTCTCTTTTTGAGTATTGTAGTTGATCTTCACTTGCTCATAATCGGAAGACAAGGAATTGAGAGCCATATGAACAAGGAATTGATCTGTAATCTGCAAGTCCAGATTGTTGAGCTTGTTTGCCACATTAACAAGTTTGAGGAGATGCTCTCTCATGCTCCCAGTTCCATCAAACTTGGTTGAAGTGAGTGTAGTAAGATAGGAACTAGATTCAACCTTGTCAGACCTCTTAAACTTCTCCACCACAGCTTCCATATAATCCTTGGCAAGATCACAGCCTGGAATGCCACCTCTAATGTGCTCTTCCATTGAATTTTGTATTATAAGCAAAGACATATCATTTGCTCTCTCCCACTTCTTAAAAGCATCCTTTTCTTCTTGGCTGCTGACATCAGTCAAGGCTGCTGGCTTAGGCTCCTTAAAAGCTATGGTGAACTCAAGTAATCCCAAATTCATATCAATCTGTTGCTTCCATGTCTTGAAGTTGGTCCCATTCAGTTTCTCAATGTTAATAAGGTTTAACATATTGAAACCTGCCATTAAATATAGTAACAGAACATAAGCTTTGAAGTTCACAACAATGGTGACTAAAACTAAATCGAAATGCTTTAGTCATACTTAAGTTATAGAAACTGATCACACCTTTAGGCAAGAAATCATTCTATAAATGCAATGAACTATCAAAACAAAAATTTGCATAGCCAAGCATAAAGCACAAGAATTAGAACAAATTCAACACCTTTGGGTGAGATGAAATATGACTAACCAAGTTTTCCATGACTCACTAGACATTAGTTTATATCCAAACCCAGTAGACAACTTCTTTGGAAGAAAATCTACCTATTAATGTTTATAAACTACAAACTGAGCATCAAAATTGATTTTAAATAGTAAAGGATCAAATAAACCACTTTGGCAGTTTACCCATCCAATCCCAAAATCAACCCAGTATAATAATCTTGTTAATTGAATTAAATCAACAAAATTCATCAAAAACCATTAGACAAATCAATTGAGACTGAATTTGATTCCTAATGTTTACTGATCGAATTGAATAATCAGCAGTAGCAGCACAAGTGCATCAAAATATAACGATATAAAATTCATAAGGATAATTATAACGCAGCGGAAAAAGACAAGAGACAAGGATAATCATAAATGATACAATTTTGATTAACTTTAACCAAAGTAGATGAGTTTAAGGCTTAATTGATTGCTCTGATACCACATGTAAAGTTTTCTGTATGCAAATTAATCTGGAACCAATTTAGCATTTAAACCACACCTTAATAGAAATTTGACAATTAAACAATAGAACGATTAGAGATCAGACTTACTTGAATTAGCCATAATCAAATATACAAGATGATCTTCTCCTCTCAGTATTCCAAAATGTCAAGGCTTTCAATAGGACAAGCATACAGAATTTTAACGTGTGAATATGAGAGCAGAGACCAAGCCTTTTATACAAGTTGCTTTACAATTGACTCTCCTATTAAGAGACAACTGCTAGCCAAAACGTGGAGATAATGGATGATATCCACTTCCTGAAACAGTTATTCCATTTAATCATTATCTGAATAAAAGTCTCATAATATCTTAATTTAAATATAACTCTATTTATTATTTATATGACACCTCATAATAATGAAAAGGCAAACTCACAAAATACATGGAAAAACTTACAAAATGTTGATTACACATGTAAACTCGTGTTGTTGTTAGACCACTGTTATGTTATTAGATTATGAATTATTAATATGATAAGATAATATATTAAATGTAAATGATTTGTAAATTAAGTGATTAAGAGTAATTATTCTTGCACCCGAGATCTTATGTTTAGATCCCCTTCTTTTCATATTACTTGTATATATATCTTAAAGGTTGAAATTGATAGTCAAACATTATATAAGTTGAAGGAATTTCATGATTGTATATCTTCTAGTTTTTTGGCTTAAGCTAAGGATTATATATCTTTTGTTTGCTAATAATGAAATATCCTTTTTAGTGATAATGAATTATGCTTTCTCAAACTTTTTATTAGTAATTATTCAACCTTTATCAGCCAAAAAGAACAGTAATGATTTAACTTATGGATAAAAATATTAAACTTCTCAAGAAAAAAACATGTTTACTTTCCTTACTTTCACGACAATTGTATATTATTTTGCAATCCAATCTATCTTTCCCATAATACTTAGATACATCATGTGCACCCTACGCCTAAACTATTAAACGCAAGAGCAAGAGCATAAGCATAAGCATAAGCAGATGGGAAGTCATAATTCCAAACACATTGGATCATGACAAGTATGCCCCAAATAAGCTACATTAGTAACAAAATTACGCTTCATATGAACACGGGTGATTAGGCAGTCTAACTGATTGTACATGTGGGCTCCACTTATCTTCCACATCATACACATAACAGAATTTTTTACGGCAAGGACCATTTGTGATAAAAAGTCCAAACGTTAAGGACTATTAGTGTCACAAAAAAACCTCAAGGACCATTCGTGATAATTTCGTAAACGTCAAGGAGAACTCTGGGGATATTTCAATCTTTAAAATCAATATCATTATTGTTTTCGTACTCAATTTGTTCTTCGTTTACTATCTCTGGAATTTTACTAATACTAGCTCTGGAACTGCTACTACTGTAAGAGTTTGATCTAAGAAGACAACTCATACTGACAAGTTTGCAGGTTTTCTACTTAGGGAAGAACGCACTTCAAATAGATCTGTAGTGGGTTGTAAGTTATCTGAGAACCTAGGGTATATCTTTCTCTCCGCTCATGCCTCACCTGGGACTTAGTGTTTGGAGTCTAGGACTTATTGTTTGGGTTGAGAGAGATAAACTGGTAGACAGAAAACAAGGAACAAACTACAAACTTAAAGAAGGACGTTGATCATAGAGTAGAATAACCAGCCACTTGGGTGGAATGAGAAGTGAAATTATAATAACTCTTCAACACTTACGGCTCTGATACCAGGAGGGAATATAGAGACTAGTCAGAGGATAGATGCATATGCATAAGTTAGAAAATAACTTAAGATAAAATAACTTAAGACTTTAAATATTAAAATAGAGTAAAACTTTAATTTAAATAGAGCAAAACTTACTGAAATCTTAACTGAAAGATTTTACTGATAGTTGGTATATATATATATAAGTACTCCCTCAACTCATTATAATTCCTCACAATAACCCCTTATTCTAGCCTCCCCGCCTCTTGGTAAAGAGAGAGATATTATTGTTGTCTTGGGTTACAACTTAAAGGAGGTATTCCCAAAAGGCCTTTTTGATTGGAGAGAACCTGCCAAGAAGGCAGGGATGGACTGTTCCTTTTGGTAGTGGTAGTGGGCTATGGTTGATTTTACAAAAGGCCTTTCTTTAAACTAGGCTATAGAAATTAATTTTCCACAGAGTACTTTTTAATTTTTTGGTGGTATCAACTAGGCTATAGCCCAGTTAAGTTCTTTTTTCTACATTTGATTTATTGCTTGAAGATATAATTTTTTTTGGGTCTGAAATTTGCTTGAAGATATACTTTATAGCTTTGTCATGGTAGAGATACATAAATAACTTAATCCTGATAAGTAGCAGTTGGATTTAATTTGTCTCGAGTAGAAAGATAGACCAACTAGTTCTTTGTTTAATGCTATTTTTGTTTCTAATTTTGAAAGCGGTCGTAAGTTCAAATCTCCGACTCAGATTTGAAAAAAAGAGAGAGAGAAAGAGCAATATCTTAGACAAAAATCTTGCACAATTTGTCATGAAAAATATCTTGAGCTGTCTCCCCTTCATGGCCCAACAAAATTAGATAGAATCGTAAGCAAATAGAAGATGTGGGAACCCTTCACAACTAAAAAATAATAAAAATACTAATACTTTAAGTAGATCACACACTGTCATGTCAAAAAGTTAAGCATATAGCAGTGCATCATTGGTGACATCCACAAGGTAAGTTTCTTTAGTCATTGTGCCACAGGACCCAAGTAGTGTCGGTTTATGTTTTTCATTGATGCATGTAGGATAAACATTATTACACACATTTAATTAAAAGTTCAAACCCCTAGAGCCCCTCTCTCCCAATAAGGGCTAAAATCCAATCAATAACCAGACAATATTGGCAGGACCTAACTCAAAGCATAGAGGTCCCTCTCTTATTTGAGCAAAGACCGAAAGACAGTCTGACATAAAAACTCATATAATTCGCACTGGATCAATAAAATGTGAAGCTATCTTATCCTTCACCACTTTACCAACACGCGTGTAGCCATCGTCACCTTTGTAAAGGAGATGTACCACTTTTGTTAAATTAAGAACTCTCATTAGGACAGCCATTGGCGCGGCAGTTGGTCTTAGAAACTCCTCGTTTATGTCCTTCCACAGATCCACCACTTGCTTGTTCAAAGCATCAAGTGCCTCTTGCTCCGACACCCCATATTGCTTCATGTAGCAATCAATACTACAAGCAACATGGCCTCTCTCTTTCTCAAACTGCATATAGAAATTCAAAATATAATATTATAGAAAATCAGATTGTTACTCTTACTACTACTGCTAACACCGATGTTGTTCTCAACTTAACCACCGACAAAGTCTAGTGTGAGTTTTTATCATCAAAGGCCATGATGCTATTAGTTGTGGAACCACTTATTATATATAGTATTTTATTTTGTCAAGTTTTCGATGTGAAACTTTGCATTTTAAACATCCTTACCTAATCTAGCATGACAAGAATATTCTATACCTTGCTTGTGACAATATCATCCATGAACCTAAAAAGGGTCGTGGAAGCTCTAACAATTTTTGCGTCATTGAACAGCCACTCAAATGTCTCCTTTGTTACAATATCTCCCATGCCAAGTAAGGATACAGTTGAAAGCATGGGGTAACCAGTAGAAACTATTGCAGCAGGTAGATACTCCTCCATGGTTGGGGTGTATCCTTCGTTGAACCATCTGGCCTCCTCAAAGTAAGCTCGGGCTACAGCTTTCAACTGGAGGGGACATAACGTTATAGCTAGATAATTGTGGAAGAAAATAATTTAAATTTATTATATATATTATATACATACGGATTCCTCTGCATAATAAACTCGGTATGATCTTCCACCCTTTGCAATCTCTTCCTCAATTTCATCGACAACATTCAAAAGGGTACGATAAAATATTTGCATATATTCTGGGAGTTCATCTATGCAACTCATATCCCACCTGAAAATTTGATAAACCATTCATTCATCTTAAGCTTATTTAGGAGCACTTCTACAATTACAATAAATCAGCTCTAAATTATTAAAAAGAAAATTATGATTTCAAAGTAGTACCTCTCAATTGCTGCAGTAAAGATCTCAAGTTCTTCAAACGTAGCATATGCGTCGTAGGTATCATCCATCACTGATACCAGGGCAATCACTTTTGTAAGAAATTTTCTTACTCCGACGTATCGGGGTTCGAAGTATACTCCGACCACCCAAAAGTACAACTCCACGATCCTGTCTCTTGCAAAAGGCAGCTTCTTTTCAAAGTCTACTTCTTTCCACCACCTAATGAGCAATAACATTAGTTGTACGTGTAACTTGAGTATATATGCTCACATTTACAATTAAAAGAGAGACTTACCTAGTAATCTCACTGAGCTCCTTTTTGTGCAAAGACTGAACAAGATTGAAATCTAACTTCGCAAGTTTCAACAAAGCTTCATTGTGTGAAGCTTCATCTTGGTAGATTGACATGTAACGCCTGGCACATACCCTCTCTAGATCTTTTCGCAAAGGTCTCTCCAAGGCTTGAGTGATTTGTTCTGCATGTTCGTAGCTTCCATGAGCTTTTGCAGCAGAGTCAAGGTGAGTGGTGGTGAAAGCAAGAGCTTCATCTAGTATTTCTTCTCCCCGTACGCCTAGATGCCCGGCTTCATAAAGGCTTAGCATCCCGGGAACATTGACAATTAAGCATTTCTTGAAGCTGCCATTTTCATCTTTGAACTTGTTGAACACATCTGCTTGATTGTCATAAAAATGAACAGGCCTTAATTGGCAAAAATCAGTCACATTACACTCCACTACATTATAATTTGTTGATTAACTTACCACATGAAACCTTATATCCATGTTGTCTTAGTAGCCGGAAACCAAGAGCAACGTTGTATAGATCTCCATCATCACTAAAGTCATGGTCATGAAATGCAGCATGCATACGCTCCAACGCTTCTTCAATTTCACTTTCAAAATGGTATGCCACGCCAAGGCGCTGGATTGCATCAATCAACTTGAGCTGATGTGAAAAGTCACCTATACTAGTTGTGAATACTTCCCTCCTCACTACTTCTTTCAGCTCCTCAACTTCTTCTTGGTTCCGGGCATTTGTTATCTGCGGCCAGCAATTAATTAAACAAGGAAAACACTTGTGATTTTTTTTTTTGTTGAGAAAAATAAACATGAATATATAATGATAATATAATTTGCATGAGATTACAATGTCTTGGGAATCATAGTTCATGAACCGATCTCCCCAAATGCTTGGTGGGAAATTT